GGACTCGTTATATTTGTGTAAAACACGATTAAAAAATATTCATAAATAAAAAAGTTTTTTGTAAAAATTTAAATTTTCTAAATTTAGCGCCTAATATCTGCGAAGATTTGCCGAAAATCAAAAATCAAAAGTAGCGTAGCTATGTGCCCCGTCTCCGGCTATGCCAAAATGCATCGAAAGTTAAAATCCAATGATTATTGTTAAAATTACTGCAATATTTCTAAAAACGATAGCTTCGGTGATTTCGGACATTTCGCATTGTCGCAGAACGTTCAAAATAGCTTTATCCTCTAAGTCACACCCACTTTTCCGATAAAACCGAAGAAATCGTAACGATCCGACAATCAGTTGCTGAGATCTACTCAAAACAAAAGAAGAATAATAATAATAAGAATAATAATTTTAACAAAAACAATAGTGTTTCACACAAGCTACGCAGTGTGAAACCCTAATAATAATAAGAATAATAATTTTAACAAAAACAATAGTGTTTCACACAAGCTACGCAGTGTGAAACCCTAATTAGATCTATGACTTTAAAGCACATCCGTATACATGTATTACCCCGACACATATTTATTAGAAATTTTGATAAATCTTTTTTATCTATGTTTTTATCCAAATTACCTTATGACGTGCGAGATCGTATATTACTTAGAAGAGTATTACATTTACAGACTAGTTTCCATTTGCAGATCTTATGTTTAAACTTCAAATTTGTCTCGTCGCTTAGCGCGCGATATAGTGCTTATTTTCCACCCATGCCAATGTCAATAATTAGCTCTCTCGCTATTTTACAATTTGTAAACATTTTGATAAAATTATTATTTCTTATATCGAGTCACCTAAACCCCTAATTTGATCAAATCTCGATAAAATGTCGAACGGAAATGAAGGAAATGTAAAACGGATATGTTTACATCTATGTAAATTAGTTGCATCTCCGTGATTGACATTTTCTAATTAATTCCGGTTCATGCAATATGTGAACCAATATGGCTTCTCGTAAAATCACTTCTTATTTTAATGGATATTTATATCCGAATATGTTGTTAATTATGGCAGGGGGTAATTTAGTCTCTCCTTTTTTCTAGACGCATGAGGGTGGCAAGTTCGTGAGGGCTGTTCTGTCATGTGATGACTTTCCGCACGCGTAAGATTGACGCAGGCACCTGTAGCAAAATAAGCCGACGAAGCAATGTACATTTCAATTATCAGATAATACTATCAGTGACATGAAACATATTCACCGTGAAACTAATTTTCTAATGATATCATTGAATTTATGTAGCAGACGGCCCGGGACACGATCTCGCTAATTAAGTGACGAGATATTACGAGAAGACAATGAAAAGCAAGCTGCTTCATTTGCATATCTCTGCCATAAATTTCATCTCAACAAAAAGAAGTCAATTATACACACGCAGGACAAACGTATTTAGTATTATTTGTTTGTAGTACTAGGATTTATTCTAATATATTACAAATAAATAAGCCATTACCAAATATTCTTTGATAACAACATTGTTCTTCCATCGGTTATTTTTATTTATTTATTGAATTCGGTTAAAATCAGATGTCAATTTCGTTTCGTTTTATTTATGATATTGTACTACATTCAGAGCAAAAGTCAGAAATAAAAGCGAAACGAAATTGTAATTTAATTTCAATTAAATTGTTTAAATATAATGAAGTATAACGTTTGACACAACGACCATTTTTTCTAATGAAAAATGATTTTTAGTAATGTGGATTCATAAAAACCCATTTGTACGTCTTCAAAATCATATCAGCAAATTTGTATCATTTAATTTTGTATAATATTTAACTTATGGTTTGTTGTGGGTATTTCATTCTATTACGCCGAAACAGATCAACTTCTATATTAAACCACCCAAGTGGACTTTACATGATAGCTTTAGGCTATTTATAAGGCCACCATACCCCACCCATATCGCACCTGCCGTTGAAGAGTGGATTAGCTGTCTATTGGTCTTCAGGTATCCACTTCACTTGTTTGTATTAGAACCGGGGGAAATCGGCTGTACACGCGTGTTAATCTAACTCCAAGAGCTCTTTGTCAATAACTAACCACAATCAAGCATGAAATTTGATGCCGTTATGCAAATGAGCTGTCAAGGTCTTTTTCAACTAGCGAGGTGGGTAAACAATGCAATCACCTGAATCACTTTGAAGTAGCCGACGCTAACAGGTAATCGATGGAACATTTAAGCTAAAATATCTGTACAAGAGTTATTCGTGTAGAAAGCGTATTGTAGAAATATGAATGACAACGGGTGTAAGAAGTGATGTGTATTATGCACGACTAAAATCTAACAGTGAAAAAATCAATACGTCATTACACGGTTTTTATTTGAATTGAATTTCCTATTCACCCATTCTTACAATGGTTATTAAATCTATTTAATAAAAGTCAACAAATATAATAGAATTTATGATTTGTTGTTCTGTGTCATTAACAATTGCATCATTCAATTGTAACTAATACACTATTTGCATAATGTAATCAATTGCTAGATAGTCTTTGTTAAGCATGCGAGTTCATTATTTGCTTTTCTACAAGAACACGGACTTGTTTTCGGCTGTTTATTCGCTGCTGATATTATTAATACGATATTTTCCCTATGCACAGATTGATTAAGAATACAAAAAATATAAAAAATACTTCATTTCATTATAATGAAAGTGCAATTCTCTTAGCATTTTCTATTAACACATTTATATCAGACTGTTAGTTCAATCCATCGCGGTGAATATCCGGTCATTAGAACTCATTTGGGTATTTTGTTTGAGAATTCAACGGCACTTTTAATGGCATTGGGGTTGGGGTGATATATATTATTTTGGATGTTTATTTGAATTAATTATAATAGTATATATATATATAAGAGGAGCACACCACACATAGCTATAATTATAATAGTATGTGCGGGAGGACCACACCACACATACCTATAATTTGCTTAATAAAGATTAAAGAATCCGTGTTGAAACATCGCCCAGTAATAAACTGTAATTGTGTTCCATAGAATTGTGTCTTGTGTTTTAACGAGAAACATTGAAGAAAAATGTGTGAAAAAGAAAAAATAAACACTGACATGGTAAGCCTTAAAAAAAACTATCAGTTCAAGGGCGGCCCCTAAGAAATCATTTATAGAATTACTTTTCTGCAAGATACATTGACAATAAACAGAACATTGATAATAAACAGAACATTTTAATGTAGAACAACAATGTACAAGTATTAAAATTCTATATGTATGGACTACTTTATTTGTTCGTTAAAGAAAAGTTGTTTTAATGATCAAAAATATTACTCGTCAATCAATTCAAGTACCGTTTGGGAAACATCCCCTCCATTCACGTTAAGACATTAAGCACACAGCTTACATGTTAGCCATATTTAAAAAATTATACTCTATAATTAGTTTCATGTATATAAATGTTAATTCGTCAATATATTTGACTAATGTTTTTTTTTAAATCCCACAATTCACATCAAAAGGGAAGTCCAACCCATCAATATATACAGCGCCATTTTGACAAGCTGACAATTTCTAACCAATAGGCAAATAAATATCTGCAAATAAATTAGCAAAACTCCTTTTTTATTTCTTTTGTTCAATTGACACACCCTGACATTTGATTGATGGGTGATATTATTGATGTGGTATATATAATAATAAAAATATTACCAAAATATACATATTAAGATATTTACCTCATAATGTTTGAATAATATAGTTTGCTACATTTCCTTGTGAACCACAAACGCGTCATTGAACGAAAGGTGGATCAAAATTAACCTATGAAGAGAAACCGGAAGAGACGAAAGGATTCTTACCCTTTAAGACTATCGTTTAATAGATTTTTATTTCCAAAAATTCAATATCTGTCATAATTTTTGCGAACTTTTGAGAATACACGTATCTCATTTTCAGAATATTTAATATTAGTTATAATGTCAAGGAAAGAAATTTAAGCGAAAGAGACACCGAAAGATATTGCTAAGTTTTAAAGCGTTATACTTCATCTATCCTGTATGCAAAAGCATCTGGGGGCATGGGTGAGGGGCGAAACATAGACCACGCTATCCCTTTTCAAGAACCAATTAAAGGAAGTTTATATTCGTTTCATGTCGCCTTCTCTGTTATCTTTAATAAAAATAATAATAATTGTAAAATCTTTTCCATGCAACCAGCTCACATTAGAATTTTATATAAAAAAAATATTTCGTTCCGTTTGTGGTTTTTTTTTTACCTCCATTACAATTTTAATGGAGGGACAAATTGAATACACGGAACGAAAATAGTGTTGATTAGATTGTCCAGATCCTTCTTTATACAGGCTTTCTGTGCTAACATTTTCGTAATTAGATTATTATAACAGTTCATTAAATATGAGAGAAGATATTTTCTATATTTAAAACGTTTATTGGGCAATAAGGTGCCCTTTCCCTGTAGACCAACTGATATTGAAATTATTGGTTGTTTATATATAAACTACCAGTTCTTCTATATTTCTATATTATTATATCTTGTACGCGATATATTCAATAGTTTCCAAGAATTCAATTGGGTTATATGTTCAAAATCAGATTAATGAGAATTCCTCGTGCATTGTGTCACATGGGCCAACTGACATGACCATAAACGTATTCATCATAAGGACAGACGGAGAATTGAAGAGAAATTTCGGCGATAAAGTTCACACTGTCTGAATTAATATGGCAAAACGCATGCGAAACAGAAATTTTGACTTTGATATATGACTAGCGAGGAAATTAGAACACACTTTCTTTTCAATATTCAATTAATGATGCGAAAGAGGGGAGTTCAAATTGCTCAAAGAGTGCGCTATCGTCGCTTTTCACTAATTGTCATATTCCTAATTCAATACATCGTCTCCTTGATAAATGTTTCTTAAATGAGATTTCAAGATTATGAATGCTAATATATTTTTTGTTTATATAATTTCAGCTGGAAAACCTGGTGAATATGGCTACACACCACCGTCGACTACCACGACCCCAGCAGCGCCAAACTCCGGGAGAACCAATTTTACAAATAAACAACTAACCGAATTAGAAAAGGAATTTCATTTTAACAAGTATCTCACCCGTGCGCGGCGAATTGAAATCGCTGCTTCGCTTGGCCTCAATGAAACACAAGTTAAGATTTGGTTCCAGAACCGACGAATGAAACAGAAAAAGCGCATGCGCGAAATTCAGTTCGAAAAATCAGGTGTGGACACATGTCAGTTGACCTTAGATGCATTAACTGTGCCAAATTTAGCCATGTGTCACGATACACGATAAAACAATATGTTTCTTCCCCTATATAACCCCCTCGATAATTCTCTTTTTTAGAATTCTGTGATTTTGTTTTGTCCTAATGCCCATTGTTTTGTCTTCAAAAGCAGTCGTCTATGTATAAATAGGTTCGGGTAGACTAAATAATTTGTTGTGCACGTTATGGCCTTCGTTGACATCACACTACAGATATAAATAACAACAACAAACTCCAGTGGCTATATATATATATACATGAAATAGAAAGAATCTATAAGTTAGCCAGCTACTTAGAACAAGTGTGAAGAATTGGATCCGCGAAGCAACGGATGTACAGTGCATACGATATGGATTCTGTAACTATGTGCTCATTTACTTTATTCTATTTCATAATTTTGTTTTCTTTTGGAGATGGTATTTTCAACAACGCAGTCTTTTCTTTTTCTCTGCGATAATTTTGTTTAACGTGTCATTTAGTGTTGAGCGTTTGCCTATATTAGGCGGAAAAGGAAGTGAGTTATCCGCCATTGTTAAGAAACTGGATTTCTTCGACAAATGCTCAGCAAATCCCCACTTATTATTTTATTCCCCTCTTTCATGCTTTTAGACAATTTACGCCAACCTGGTTACATGTAGCGCAAAAATTGTGCTTGCCTTAAGTAATGATGTTATTTATTTATATTTGTTTGAATTTTTATGTTTTGTTTCAACATTCCACAAAATTAGTATATGTATGAATGTGCTGTTTTCTAGATTTTAAAATGTCGTTTATTATACGGCCTTTTCCATTTTGCATTAGAAACACATGACCTAATATGGCACGATTGCTTTAGACATTACTGCTTAAAAACATTTAAGCAAAATATCTTTGATTCAACACAATATGAAAATCCATGCTTTTTTGGTTTGATTTTTTTGCTCTAACAGTAAACCATTCACAAAATGGTGACCAGAAGTTCGCGTATATCACTCGGTTGAATGTGCATCTCGCCTTTTTATGTTCTGAATATACACAACTGTATATTTTACGTACATATACTTAACAAAATGATCTCAAATCGAAAGTGAAATATTACAGAGTTGATATTTGTGTTTAACGCAACTCTGTAAATGAAAACATATATATCCATTACTTTGTTCCGTTGTAGTGTCTTCTTGTTCATTAGAAAAAAAGTGACACTTGTGTTTAGAATGTGTGCTAGAATAGGTTACATTTTAGCCTAAAGCTAGTCAGTTCAGCTAACTGAAGAGAATATGATTGTCTTGGGATCAATAAAACATTGCCCTTAAAATATACAGTCAGATGTCTCCGAGAACACACCACTCGTTACCCCTTCAATAAAATATATTTATCATTCAAAGTTTACGCTTCAGTAGTTTGTGATTTTTTAAAACGACAGTCTTGTTTTGAATTTACGCTATTAAATTATACCCTAATCCCCAATTTAATCAATTTGGCAATGCACATTAAAGTAGCTAAGTCTCTAACTCAGTATCATCCAAAGTCTTCAACATAGAAAACACGAATTATTTGTCAGCTTAAATGGACGTTGATGCTGTAATCTTACCGGGAAAAGATGGGCTTCTGATATCCAATATTTATGACAAAATAAACATTTTACTGTTGGTATACGAATCGTGTACCATAATGCGTTTCAGCTAGACATATTCCACAAGTCAGTTCAAACGGTGACCTCATGTTCTTTTATGGAGAGCATGCGCAATAAATACTCTTGGTGTTGACTGGAATAACAAGACGCTATTCGATTGAGACTTCTGGCGTATATCGCCGAAGATAACTGATTTTAGATTAGAGTAAAGACGGAAACGATCGAATGTAACTCAATTTATATACATTCATATTACATTATTATATGTGTTGCGACCCATTTGTGTCAATTTATAGGTCCCAAATATTAGCGATTTGGCTCCTTTAAGTTATTTACTTGAAATGAATGTCTATGGCTTTTGTAAATCTGTTGTTTGTCTGCACAGACTGGGACATAAATTAACTTATATTTAGCAGCTTTGGCAGCAGAATATTAAGTTATGAAGAAAAAGAATGTTGAAGATCATTAGGGGAAAATCTGTAGGTTGTCGACATAGACTGGATCATAAATTAACCATCTGTAGCGATTTTAGTGTTTCGGCCCAGCTTACACAAAATATAGATCTGTGGAAAAGTTTGCACCTGCGTACGAAGGAAGGCAGATTTTAATATATGTTCGTTAACTTTGTAAGTAATTGTAACTTCAAGAAAATTGACCCGGTATTTCATTTTTAAGAGACTGTCGCTTTAAGGGCTTAGGACCGTTAACTCCCTTTAAGAGACTGTCACTTGGCTTAGGTCTGGTAACTCTTGTTAAGAGACTGTCACTTTAAGGGCTTAGGTCCGGTAATTGTTTTAAGGGTTTATGTCCGGTAACTCTTCTTACGTGCAGAAGTATCTCTAGGAATTATTTTATACAATGCCTAACTTGTCTTGTTGACTGTTACCCCACTACCTGTATATGTACATGTATATATATATATATATGAAATTACTGACCTCATATTCAGGCAACTGCCGAACTCTAGTCTTTATCACTGTCATTGCTTATAAATTACATGAAGTGCTAACCCCCATCCTCTCGTAATATTATGTTCAAAAGACATTGTATTTATTGTTTGTATATAAATTGCTCAAACGAAGGAATAAAATTTCATTTTAAAATATGAATAAACTGATTATTTAATTTATTTCACACAAAGATTATCTGGGGTTACAGAGAGTTTCCTGGAATTACCAACATAAATATGTATGCAAAAGGTGGGGGGGGGGTGACCGCCGAATTGTTTAACACGTGCGTTTTAGATCATCCCACTGCTACGTGTAAGCGAATTAAACTGAACCATATGTTACTCGCAAAATGACATAGTTTGTGTCGTTAAACCCTATCGCTCTATCTAAAATGGAGAAAGAGCAAGCAATTGTCGGCAATCTATCCTCAAAGGTGTTTAACGCTTGTTCAGATACATATTACTACTAATAAATAGAAATTTACGCCTGTTCCGATATAGGGTGATACCGTAGACAAGATAAGCACATGTGTATTTGAAATATATGCGACCATGCAGGCGTCCTTGGCCAAATACATGCATATTCAGTGGTTAAATCTAACCTTATACTTTTCTGCAAATGTCACATCCTTAAACGGCATACCACACCACACTGCATCCCATCCCACTCTATCCAATCCCAACCACAACGGCATTATAGACCCCCGGATAATACAGTGCTTTGGGTGCCCATATCTACACACTCGCATGAATAAAAATGTAAATGGTCGATAAAATTAAAAATATATTTAATATATTGGTACTTCCAACCAAATCAGTGCTTAAACATTAAAAAACATGCTATACAGCAAAGCTTAATCAACACAAACGTAAAGACTGAGCCCCTGTGCTCGTGGGGCCCCGAGCATCTAACTGCCCATGTGTTAACATGGCCCTGCATTTAATGCAATATAGCATGGGATTTAGGTTATGACTGCGACCCAAATTCCTACTGAATGTCTTCAATCCACCTGTCGTATACAACACTATGATAAAACATATCAAAAAAATTTCCTAGCAATGTTTCTATCCAAACATGCATTTAATTTTTGGAAAAAAGGGCATGTGCGTATTGTCACCTATTAGGAAAACGTAAAATCATTTAAATTCCCCTTGGGTACGTTTCTGTTTATTCTTCAGATTAATGTGAGAAGACAATGCAACATGATTATCTTGTATTTCTCTTTGATCCTCTAGCTTTCATGATCTGTCAGAACCGCCCCATGTCCGTTTTGGTATCAAATTATTTAACCTTAACGGTTTGTGACACCCCGTAGAGGGCAGTTTTCGGTCTGTCTCTGAAGTGTAAAGTATAAATGACAAGCTGTTATTAGACAAACAATAAATTCATTTGCCTAATTTGCCCTAATGACTCATGATAGTCATACCATTATCTTTAAGGCACTTTCTATTAATATTGACAATTAGTTGGAAACCGTTCTTGACTTTCAGGAATCAACGAGATTGACACATCAGTTGGAGATCTTCCTGCGGGGACATGGAATGGTTTGATAAATGAATTAAAGCACAAAAGTTCCTTTTGCAATAATTTAAGTCTTAGGCGTTTGTCCGCAACCATGGCCTCTTTATGCAGCTGCTTTGTTCTTTCCTCGATTATGGTAAATGTACAATATATTGTTTCCATTATTGTTTTATTGTACATTTATTGAAATAAGAAAAAATCGGTTCCGGAATAACTAGAATTATTTTATTGTCTAGTCAATGTTAACCAGATGGCTAACGGGGTTTAAAGCACGATAGCCACTGGCATCAATGGACTGAAATGCGACTCACTTGAAAGATATGTCACTGGTGTTTTGGGTAGGCGACAACTGAACTACATTCGATGACCAAACGATCAAACTATAACCTATGATATTATGTTATAAAAGACCTGTTTTGGTATTTCAATAGATGGACTGATATTGCATTGGATTGCCATCTGGCGGAATAGTCCCGAATAAAAACTTCTATGTTGGGTTTTAAAACCCTGCTATTATTTCTCGTCTGCAACTCTCAAGTGGTTTGTCGGCGAATGTGAAAGGTAAGAATTCTTCGACAACTCATCATCGATTGATGAATTCAATTTGTAATTTGTATTGTGTGAGCTGATAACGAACATCCTCATGTAAAGATTGACCTCATACCCCTATCCCCAAACTCGCCATAAAAATGAAATCGGCGAAGACGAATCTACGTGTAAGCTGTGTCTTCTTGAGAGACTATCGCTATCCACAACAAAGTTCGATGAGATCTCAGACTGTCGCCATTAAAGTTAGGTTCCCAGAAAAGTATTTATCGGGTGGTTATTTCCAACAAAAGTATGGTAATTTTGGTATATATGGAAAGTAGAGATATCCAATCTTACTACAAAAATACTGGATTCCCCGAAAAACACTCATGGAGCGTATACAGGACAAAAATGTAAGAGTTCCCCTAATCAACAGCCCGACGATTAGGAATTTCTGCACGCGTGATGTCATAGGTCACACGTGAACATTGAACGCTTGATAAACTTTATGAAGAGTTAGACGTACACACTTTCTGAGATAAAAATGACGGAAAAAGACGCGGGTAGTGGATAATCCGAGAATTTAATTATAGGATTCGATATTTGTAATAAATAGTAAGCGATTAAAGACAACATCGTCTTATGTATGCAATGAATTCTCCTCTGACGTCCAAGAGAGGTAAGTCACGTGACGTAAACATGACCTGGTTTGATCGAATTTTTATAGCAGGACATTCCTTCGCAATTACAATGTTTGAGAAGGATTTGAAGCAAAGTTATGACAAATTAATTAGTTTGAATATGTTTTTAGTCCATGTATAGCATTCAATCACCCAGTTTGTACGCGGGAACCCATCTTTAATCGTAAGTGTACGTTGGTCTTAAGAGAGAAGTTCAAGAGAGTATGTGATTTTTATTCAATAAACTCATTCCCTTTCTGGACAGTTTTTGTATGTTTTATGCACCCATTTGTGTTTAAAGTTGTCGATTATGATAGTTAATATAAATATGAACAGTGTTTGTAGCAAGCATAATTACCACAAATATTATGGAGACCAATTTTCCTATAATACCCATATCATTTCCATATCACTTATGGCAACGCTGGGCTATTTTCCACTTAAGTGAGTAAACATTGTCAAACTGTCTTATCGGTGAATATCGATTGCAAAACCCGGATTCCATCAAACTGCAAATATTGATAAACTTCCATCATGCCTACTTGTGACAAAGTTCTTCTGGTCATTAAGAAACAATAGCAAATCACCTTAAAGCCAATTTATGAATCATTGGGAGGGTTTGAAGCACATGCACCTCGGCGCCAAATCACCTACTTGCATGCAGTAATTCCTACTCTTAGAATAATCTGACGTAAAGATGCGTTACGTCACGCGATATTCTTATAAAGAAACAATAATTTTTGATGAAAAATAAGTCGGTTGCGTACAAAAAGTAATGAGGGGACTTAAGAAACGAAATAACCATACATTTGCATGTACATGAACTATCCTACTTAGTGCTGAGGCTTAGTAGATGCGTATGTCGTGAAATGTTTTATCTCATTTCAATTACTTATCAACATTGATAAATGATATGTATTGTATAAGCGGGGGAGGTAAAGGTGTCATTATATTAATTTCACATGTACAGTGGAATATTGTTTAGGGGTGGGAGGGGGTCGAATGGTTTAACGTGTTATTGAGATTTAACGGGTTATTGAGATTTCGCATGTACAGTGGAAAATTGTTTAGGGGTGGAAGGGGGGGGGCGAATGGTTTAAAGCGGTGGACACACTAGCCGAATGATTCCGCCGAATCGTTCGGCCGAATCAATCGGCGCCGAATTTTATTCGGCCGAATGGGTGGACACCCTAGCCGAATGCTTCGCCCGATTCAACCTGTCGATTGCATCACCTTTCACGTCACATGATTAAACATGGCGGCGTCTATGTCTTCAATCTATCACGTGACCTCTCGATATGAGTGGTGATTGGCTAATGAATTCTATATTCGGCCGAATGCTTCGGCGAAGCGGACACACCAGGCGAATATAATTCGGCCGAATATATCAAACCTGATTAAACATGGCGGCGTCTATGTCTTCAATCTATCACGTGACCTCTCGATATGAGTGGTGATTGGCTAATGAATTCTATATTCGGCCGAATGCTTCGGCGAAGCGGACACACCAGGCGAATATAATTCGGCCGAATATATCAAACCTGTTTGATTCGGACGAATCATTCGGCCGAATGATAGTAGACACACTAGGCGAATTTCGACGCCGATTGATTCGGCCGAACGATTCGGTCGAATCATTCGGCTAGTGTGTCCACCGCTGAATCAATCGGCGTCGAAATTCGCCTAGTGTGTCCACTGTCGTTCGGCCGAATGATTCGCCCGAATCAAACAGGTAAATATTCGGCCGAATTATATTCGCCTGGTGTGTCCGCTTCGCCGAAGCATTCGGCCGAATATAGAATTCATTAGCCAATCACCACTCATATCGAGAAGTCACGTGATTGTTTGAAGACATAGACGCCGCCATGTTTAATCATGTGACATGAAAGGTGATGCAATCGACTGGTGAATCGGGCGAAGCATTCGGCTAGTGTGTCCACCCATTCGGCCGAATAAAATTCGGCGCCGATTGATTCGGCCGAACGATTCGGCCGAATGATTCGGCTAATGTGTCCACTGCATAACGAGTTATTGAGTTAAGTGGCATTTTTTCTATTCCTCGCTTGTACGTGACAAGGAGTAGGGTCACCTGTCCAACCTTGTAGGATTTCTACGGGTCTTCTGGTTCCCCCCGACAGCTAAATTCTCTACGGGCAAGCTAATTATTGAAAATAAGTTAAACCATATGTTAGTCCCGAAATTACCTGTACAGTGAACTTAAAACCTCATTTCTTTCTCTGTATAAATAATATTCGAAAAGTCAATCTGATTAAAACACAGATACTATTACGTTTCGTTTTTCATAGTTCAAAATTTCGTTTTACTTGTCTTCACTACACTAGGATCTGGAAGAGTTGTTATATTACCAGCGTTTTGGTTGGAGTGAGGGATAAGCCAATGATACAGTCAGTTACGGCGACTC